GTCCTATTCCATGTCCCATTCGTCATGTATGGGATACAGCATGATGTGACTGGCATGCGTGACTTCGGACATCCTTCGTGGCTTCCTTCGTTGCGGATGAACCGGATGATACGTTCCAATGGGGGATCGGATGAAGCGGGTCCTGCTTGGGGTGAGGTCCTAGGGTCCCCGTCTCCGAATGGGATTCTTCTCCAACCTGCGAAAGGACCACAAACACCGCTGTGCAAAGTCCTGCTGATGCTGGATTGGATGGTTGAGAAGGATTTGTTTCATCAAAAAACACATAATGAGAAACATGTGCTTATGAGGATCCTTTCTTGATTCCTGTTCACACATCGGCATTGCAATCAGCTCTCAGAACTTTCGAATGCAAAGGAGAATCGACCCCCCTTGAACTGGGCGGATAGATATTGTTGAGACAGCATCTAGCGGCGACTTTTCAGCCAAACAAGACTAGCCACTCATTCCCCAACTCCAAGTTATCCCATGACAGACTGCACCAGTGACCAAATGCACTGCGCATCTCTTCTAACACCGCGGGGGGAGTCCCCCGCGACTGACCACACGATGCAAGAAGGGGCCGCGCCTTGCTGCGCAGCAGGTTCGCTGCAGCAGGTTCGCTACGGCGGGCGGCATCGACGTGACGCGGCTGACCAAACGGTCGGGACGTTGCGGCACCGAGCCCTCGATGCCTTACGATCAGCTGAAAACAAAATGATGGTGGTGTCCAAGAACTTCTGACCTTCTCTCTCTCTCTCTGTGTCAACAGCTGTGAAAAAAAAGGGGTGTGCCACAGAATTCTGCGAGAACCAACTTTGGACCTTTAATCCGGATTAGATGTGGAAGGATTCTTAGGTCTTTTGGCTAATCTGACATCCTCTGACCATCCTGACCTTCTGGGGCACCGGAATGGGGCACGGTCAGGATGGACGACCTTCCTGGTACGAAGCGCCACGAAGGAACTCCTTCCCAGATCAAACCACCTGTTGGGACTGACATCGCATACAGACAGGGGTGGTTGTTTCAGGGGGCAATGTAGGGTATATAGTATGTTTAGATATATGTTACATATGTGTTTTGATTGTTTATGATTATATGATTATATGATTATATGATATCATGTATGTAAACTGTATATTCCATGCATGGAGTGTCCGGGTATGGTTGGACTGCTGGCTGCGACGGGATTGCGAAGTTGGCTTACTTTGACCGAACCCTGCAGGAGTTTAGGTTGATACTTAGGCCTTCCAAAGATAGCAGGGCTTACGGCTTAGCCTATCCTTCACAAATGCACACGGGCTCGAGCTAGCAAGTAGCTAGCCCCCGAATTGCTTTCAGTCGCCGCTCACTCTCACGGCAAAATCCTGAGACTCGTGAGATCTTTGTCACTCAATCTAAAACCAACAAATAAATACTGGCAGGGGGTTCAAGAAGAGCCCTTTCCAGAAGTGATTCCTGTGGCGTGTTTCATTGACAAGTGATTCGGGACTGCCATCACGCCTGCGTGGAGTGTTTGGGGGGAGTTCTCGTTGTCTTCATGAAATGGTAAATGATGAAAAGGGATACAAAGGGACAATTTCCCATCCATCTCGTGCCATCAAAACACACCTGTGGTGGAGCTTCAATCGCTCATCATTGCTGTGTTCTTCATCCATCGATGATCGTTGAGAACACGGACATTCTGCAGTGGCGCCAGTCTGCGGCATATGATCAACACCATGTTCCGGCAGGAAAACGTCTTCTCGGAAAGTCCGCTGTATGTCCTCGACTTGCCTTTTGAACATGTTTGAACCCTTGCACCTCCCTCACCGTCCGCCGGTGCTCACTCCCTTAAGACAGATGTTTCATCCTCACACTGGTTCCCGATACAGGTCAGGAACTGATCTCATTTTTATTACTGGAGTTGGTCATACAAACACATTGCTCAAGGAGTTTTGAAAAAGGGTTTTACTGGGTCAGACTGAACTTGTAGGGTACTGCTCTCAAGTGCTTGATCAATCCAACCATTTTTTTCACCCAACAGTTTCGGTTCGATGGGTAGGAACATCCCGCCGCGACGAGACGGCGCTGGCTGTGGGAGTAGAAACCCTCAAGCGGACACATGTGGGTCCTCAAAACAGCTTCGCTCAGTTTTTGAAACAACATGCTGGGTGTCTTACGGAGGTTTCAGAATGTTTCAGAGTAGATGGCAACAAGTTACCCCAAGTAAAAGGAGGTTTAGAGGGGCCCCCATCTGTCGAGGACATCATGGGGTCTGTGCCATCTACTCTGAAACCACTGCATGAACATCCCATAGATGACCATTTCGATGAAACAACAACACCCTTGAAACAACGACCCCCTGAATCCTGCTGGAGTCTGTCCTTGATTAGCACCAAGGACCTGTCTTCAACCAGCTGAAAGAGCGAATCCAAACGCATCGGTCCAACCTCACCACTGCCGACCGTCCGCCGACCGTCCGCTGCGAGTCTCTACCGTACACCGTCTGCCCTCCTGCCCCTGCCCCGCCCCGCGAAAAAGAAACACCCAAAGCACATGCCCAGCGTCTCGGACTTGGAGGGCTGCAGGGCCGTGAAGAGCACGGCGCCCCAAAAGTCCTCCTCGGACTCCGCGCCGCTCTTGGCCTTGTTCACGGCCGGCCACTCCGCGTCACCGGACCCCCCGCGGGTGCGGCGTGACGTCTTCGCGTGGCGGAGGAAGATCGTGGCGGCGGACCTGTGGAACCTGTCGGCGAACCTGCGTGGGTCGTTCATGCATTCGTTCGTGGGCGGTTCAGCGGTGTTCGACTTGGAGTGTTGGCGCTGTGGAGTGTGGAGGTGATCCGTGGTGCCCTCAGGGATGAGGTAAGTGGTTGAACAAGGTGTTCCATCAACTTTCTGTGAAAGGTTCATGAAACCTTGCACAAGAATTTTATTAATATACATTACATGGTCGTGTTTGGAGTTGCTGTTGCAATTGCTGCTGTTGTAGTTGCTGTTGTAGTACCTTAGACCACCAAGCACCCCAAATATGGTCGTTTCCTATCAAAATAGAGGTTCAAATGGGCTTAGCTCCGAGGGCTCCTGCACCACATCCTCAGAAGGTAGGAACAAACCCCCCAAACCTTCCCCAACCGAACCTCAGGTAGGAGCCCCACCAAGGGAGATGACAATCCTCATGAAGGCTTCTTTGAGTCTCGATATGTATACTGCTGCAGTCCCTGTTTGGACCAGTATTAGACCCATGCTGCAACAAGTATCGGAAAATGGGAGGCATCTGTATGGTGATCAGTGTATTCCAACATGTCAGAGATTCACCATATTTATATACCCTAGGGCTCCAACTACCTCCTGAGAAGATGGTTGGGGTGGGTTTTGGGGGTCTAACCACCTTCTGAGGATATGGGCCAGGAGCCCTAGGGATATATGGAGCTTCAGATGGCCAACGTGTCTTGGACCCACGAAAAGGGCGCTTTTCATTCCCCGAACCCCGCACAGAGACGACGTCTCGTCAAGCGTCGTAGAGGCAGGTGCCGCATTTCCTTCGAACGCAGCTTTTGCCTGGAACGCTCCCGTTCGCCGTTTCGGAGAGCCGAGCGTTGATCCCACATGCAAGTGCCAGAGGTCCCACCACTGGACATGGAACACATGCACTCGATGATGTTTGGGAGTGTCTCCTAATTTGTGTGTCATCGTTGTAATTAGCGCATTTGTGTAGTTACAAGGTACAAAACATTCCTTTCGTCTGGCAACGTATTTCCTTTGGCGTTCGAAGTGTGCAATACTGCAAAAGTTGACGACACGCCTCAAATTGACCATTCGGGCTCTAACACGCACACTCTGATACTTGGTGCTTCAATCGGATTTCCATATTTGACCACCCAGTCGTCATTCAGATTCTGTTGGCAAGGAAACTTCTGTTCTCTGCCATTGGTGCTTCTTCAACACTTCGTTGAGCACGGTCCATCAGAAAACCTAAAAACATCGATTTAGTGTACTCTCCTGATGCTAAAGCTTCCGTACCAACCCCATTACTGAGTTGAACATCTTGATAACCGCTTGGACACTTTCAGAGATGGGCGCAATGGGATCGTCCTCAACACCGCGATCCTCTCGGCCCATGGCCCAGGACGTCCAGACGGTAAAACTGACCAGTTCAACCCCATGACGTCTAGTTGTTCTTTGGACAGCACATGACAGCACCACAAACTTCAGTCTTTTTGTGGACCTGCACAATCGGTTCCTATAGTTTGGAAAATATATATAAAGGTGTAGCAGTGTAGCAAAGAAACCTACGATGGAGCAATGGCTCATGGTGGTTCTTTCGAAGGACGTGCTGGCCTTTCAAACACTACTTGAGACCAGTTTCAACGGGCATTAACACAAGTAATCTTGAAGCAAGTCAAAATTGAAACTGACCTCGAAATGGGTTTGACATGGTTTGACACATGTTGACACTAATTTTACATCTAATTACTATATATAGGAAACCATCCTGGGCAAAAGGGAGGTTCCATGGTCCCTCCTCTCTTCAGTCAAGCAGCAGCGCGGCGAGTGAGAGTCCGCCATGCACTTGTCCAGGCATTTCTGACCGGTCGACCGTCCACACGTGGTCGACGTGTCGCTCGGGACTCGGCACGTGGTTTCAGGACTGGAAAACATTGGGGTGCGTTGGCTTCAGGAGTTTTCATGTCCTATATGCATCAACAAGCAGTTTTTGGGTCATATTTTGTTGCCAAATGATAGAAGTCCAGCATGCAACCGGTCCTTCTTCAGTCCTAACCTTGAGAGGTTCTGATTGCAATTCACAAATCAAGGCGGGTCTCTGATAGCCAAAAGGCTGGCCAGGCTGGTCAAGTCTCACGGGACATCACGGGTCATTCGGAAAATACGAAGCATACTGGACGCTCAAATGGACGCTCGTCTGGAAGGGTCTCAACAAAACAAGTCAAAACCACACACAGATCCGTGGGCTTTTTCTGTGGGCTCTTGATCAATAGATCCTCGATTTTATGAACGTATGTTAAGAGCTTTGACCATCCATGTCTGGGAAATGAATGCATCAAAGTCCTACAGTCCTACATGACTTCGTCCCAAGTCCCAAACAACAAACTACAGGTCTCGAAGGCTTGGCTCCGGCGACTGGTCCGGAGCCCCTTTTTTGGACATGTTTTGAGACCAAACTCAGCTTGACGCAGTATCTTTGCTGGAAAGCCCCTTCAGCTGCTTCAGCTGCGAACACCCCAATCTACTCAAAACCTACTTACAGACGAACCCCAAAGGCTTCGCCAACCCCTTGTTTACTGTAAAACAGGGGTCAGGATTCAGTCATCATCCACTCTTGTCTCTTGATGTCTCTCGTCTACTCGGCCACGGCCATGCCCTTCCCGTGACTCCCCGGGCCCTGATGGTGCAGTCGACTTTATCGCCTCAGACGGCCACCGCGTCCCGTTCGGCCCCAAAAAGAGCGCCCGGAAGAATCATTTGCATGGCTTACACTCCCTGGAACTAACATGGAAGTGGATGGCCTGGCCCACTTGGAAGACCATTTTCCACTACAAACAGACGGTGAACTCCACTTCCATGTATGTGAATGGCACCACCTCTTTGGTACTCGGATGTCTTAGGATGAAAAATGGACATCCGAGAAGACTCGGGGCCATGCCACTGGCGCAACCATGATTATTTCAAGCTGTGTAGTTCACCATCTGAGGGACATAATATATAGTACATTATAGGTACTATGTTTTGGGTTTGTCTTATTACCTGTAACAGTCAGTGAACAATTATCACTACTTTTGGACAAGGCCTCTACTAAGCATCATCATCCACCAGCCAATCTTTTGCTACCGCATTTTGGAGTGGGCTAAACAGTTAATGTGGTGTCCGCCGAACTGTCACTGTTTGGGTCAAACCACGTTCATTGAATTATACTTTGATTTCATGCTGACAACAGGTAGTCAGGCACCAATCAATACTACACCTGGTAAACTACGACCGGGACACTATATTGCACATGTTCAATTGGCAGACCGCTCCACGGTTGCAGACCTCCTTGCAAATGTTCCTCTCGGGACGCAAACAAAAAACTTTAACCTTTGTTTGACCTGGCTTGAGTCACAGGGAATATTTCCTTTTGCTGGACAAAAAGAACGCATCAAGAGATCAGCTACCCTGGGTTGGTTGGGTATACGTGGCTGGTACCCCGCTGTTAAAGGGGTGCCGAAGTTGGTACAAGGGGAGGCGGTCTATCTTGAGATTGATAGATTCCTGAACCAAACTAACCCTCCTTCACGCAATCTCTCCCGACCGTGGCGAATCCAATCATTGCCGAAAATCTCGCATCCTTGTGAGCTTGACATTTCCTTTGAGCAACTTGTTCGGAACATTAAATCTTCGTAAGATGACGCTGTGTCCTTTGCTTGCCAATTAGCCCCTCCCCATTAGGCTTCTAGTACGCATGTGCCGACTAGTTGTCTGTGGATACAAAACGTATCCTGATAAGGCTGAAAGCGGAAAAAAACATCCACTGTTACAGGTAATTAATAGGATAGACCCAAACTATGTTGACTTTGTTCATGATTCATATAGTTTCAACTAGGGTTGGTTGAAGTTGAAGTGGCCCACACCAAACACAGCCCCAATATTGAACGTAAAACCCATATGGTTCTACTAGGCATCATTCATACCAATGCGGAGCCATTCTAAGCCAATAGGCTGAGAGTAGTCATACAGTTGAAGCGATCCATATATTCCTCAATCCATGAGTTCCAATTGACAGCCATGAACTTTCCCCTGGCAACACCTTTTGAACGGCCACAGCTCTCTGCTCAGCATCTGGCCAAAGCATCTAGCACAGCCAGGCTTCATGCCTTCTCGCCTGCACAAACCCACCGAAGGCCAACGACGAGTCGGAACGTGAGACGCCAGACCCAAACGTCCAATGGAAGACTCGAAGACGGGTCTATGGGTCCAGGTGGGTCCAATAAAACAAAAACCGTGGAGGTCGTTTATCAAAAGAACTTTCCTGGACTTTGTTCAAGGAGTGTCCTGTCTGGAGGTCCCTTAAAGCTTAGTAGTGGGCTGGGGCGAAACCAGCCAGGTGATCCCGAGTTCGGAAGGTGCTGGTTGATACGTTTGATCTGTCACGACGGCCGACGGTGTTCCGCCAGGGTCGCGGAGCGAAGACATGACACACGTGGCGTGAAGGATGCGGAGATCCCTGTTTGGCTACGCTTACTGGAGAAGAAGATGGAACTGCTTGGAACTACGGTATACTTACTGTTGGACAGTTCATCCTGCACTCAGCGTCCATCCAGTGAACTGTCCAATCCATTGGAAATTCAGGCTGGATAAGAAAACGGTTCTTCTTTCCACCAGTCAAATTGGGTATTTCGAGTGAATTTATCTTTGCTACCTCGTTCACATACTGCTGGAACATGCGTCACAAAAACCTTAGCCATCCAATCAAAGAGTCCCATCCGTCATGCAAGAGACAGAACATGATTCCATGTTTCACACTGCTAAACAGTTGCAGTTGCACTTGTATATTGTTTCTATTGGTACTACGATCTGGTAACTCTTTGAGATTTGACACCTGAGAGGAAACTGGAAAACGTATACAGGATTCCTGTAGGCCAACTCATGGCGAAGACCGATGGGCCAAACGGGTGTGAAAGACCTCTTGGCCAAACATGACCTCTGTTTTGATCGGAAAAGACCATGCTTTGCAAAAAATGCCACACAGGGTCACTCAGGATGTATGCAGGTATGACAGGGCAATAGATTGAGGGCTCGTAACCTAATGTCCCTAATGTATCCTAATTTATCCAATGTCATCAGAATATCTCGAGGGCATCCTGTGTTCATGTGGCTCCCTCCCAACCACCTGTTGTTTCGCTGAATCGATTCCTTCTTTAGAACTCTGCCGAGTACTATGTGATGTCCATGCTTGGTGATGTCCCCTCTGTGGCGACGTGCTCCACTGCCGATGAATTTCTTCCTTCGGGGGAGGGGCAGACATTCTCGCCGCACGCCCAAACCAGCCGCGACGTCCTGAAGGGCGTCGCAGCTGGCTTCGTGTGCAGGTCCCAAATCATCCAGCGGTTTCAAGTCGAGAAGCCATGTTTCTACCTGAACATGACGAAGTTCAGGGAGTGTATCCACTTCTTTGGTCATTCATGGTCATTAACGATATGATATGAACAAATCCAAGATGCTCTGTACTGTTTTGAAGACAATGTTCCGCTACATAGGGGAAAATGGTCTTCAGAACATGAATTATCCATGTCTAGGTCAATGACCATCAGCTGAAAAAGTCTTTGAAACCACATGGACAAACATGGACTCGGTACTCCATCGAGTGGTGGGTTGCAACATGTCGAATCGCCCAAATAGTTGACACTCACACAAGCGTACACTCAGACTCTAACTCCAACAAATACATTCCTGGGATATGATGAGGTGATCAATAAGATCCATCCAAAATCTTTCTCGAGGCCACGGAAATGCTTGAATGGTCTCATGCATGTCTCATCTATATATCATGTCCATATGGCACCCCAAACGGCAGCCTCGGATCAAATGAACAGATTCCTCTATGTTTGGGATGTCAACCGAGCTCCCCTGGTTTGGTGGGGAATGGTGGTCTCTCTGTTGATCTCTTCGGACCTCGTTCCATCTACCGACGTTCAAACCTCTTTATCACCACGGACGGACCATGTCTTCTGTGCTGACCGGGTGGAACCCCAACGCACAACACGACCCCGCGACCCCATCGCCTCAAGCAGTCTGTGGCACACTGTGCACGTTGAGGCCGTGTCAGGCACTCCTCTCTCGAGGCGACGGGATGGAGGGCATCGGGCGACGGAGGGCATCGGGCGACGGATTTGAGTGAGAGATCCTCCAAGCGATCTTGGCACACAAGAATCAGACAAAAAGCCAGATTGTGCATTCCTCTGATTTGCTAGGCCATCCTATAACAAACCCTAAGCAACTCTCTAAGCAATCCCAAGAAATGCCAAATTTGGATACCCATTCCATCCCATTCCGAGATATTCCTGTGCAATCCTGAGAAGTCCTAAATTGATGGGAACTGCTAGGAAACATGTTTGCTGTATATGTGCCTGAGAATGTGTGAGAAAGTTGCCCCGAAGAGTCATCCTTTGAACAACCTGCATTCAGCAGGTTTAAGACTTCGGATGATTGAAATGATCCTCGAAACCTCTCTTTGGGGGACATCGAAATGAGGATTGGAACATACGCCGCCCCGAACTCAATTCCAGGGCCGCCAAGGCGCTGTGCCGCATTTCTTGAGTTTCGCTTGATCCTGCAAAGTAGGATCAAGTTGATGGCAGGTCCAGAACGAGAGGAATTGGTGCAGGTCTACACTCTGGACGATTAACATGGAACCTGAAAACAACTCCCAGACGCGACCCATGGGACTGCCGTATATGCCGATCAGGCCAGGGGTGGTGCCAGGGGGGTCTGTCTGGGGCAGTCCGTCCTGGCAGTCCCAAACAGGTCGCGTCTGGGACTGGGTTGTAAAAGAGGTCGGCATCGATGTGGGTCTCGGTTCTTCACAGGTAGAGTCTTCATGTGGTCGCCGATGCCACCGGGAGAGGTCTTCATGTGGTCCATGGCGTTTCTCCCGGCAAAACACCCGTGTATTTGGGACACCTGTGGTGAAGTGACTTCCAAGAAAAACATGGCTGCGGGTCCAAAGCAGGATACCTCGGTAACACGACTTATGGACACACAACTAGCGGCGCAACCCTGAATATCCCTTGGTATACTGTGACACCAGGTATGAGGAGTGTGAAAAGAAAGGAATGTGAAAGTAACAAAGCTAGTGCAGCGGTGTATGTGACATGTTATGAATGAATTAAGCAGACAGCCGCGTGGCACAAATGTAGAGTTACGCGGATCAATGTCATGGTAAGATTGTGTTTCGCTTTGCCTTTCAGGAAGACGGGCTGCTCTGTGCTGGCCCCCTCAAAATTCAATGCCTTGCCGCACATGTTGAATGGTCCGGTGGAAGCTCATGGCATATAACCCTGGAGGACGGCAGGCAGACGGCCCAATAGGATATGATGATCAGCTAGGCAGACAAGGACGGTCCGCCACTCAGCTGCTGAAAGAACGACAAAGGACGAAGGCAAGATCAGGGCGACAAATTAGTGCACTGTACTGAATGGGTGGTTACGAAACTAATTGGCATAATGGTCAGCAATCGAATTGTAATGTTTCTTTCTTTTGGCGTCCCAAACTTCCATTTGAGTTTGTATCTCTGCTCCTAGTGGATTTCCGTGTAGTGTAAGAAGGAATGGGGATCACATGGGAAGTTGAAGCAACGAAAGGTGCATCTGTTGTAAAAGGTTGATTTTGGTTTGATTCTGTTTCGTAGTTGATAATTGCCTGGAGCACGGGCATTAGGGAACACCGGTCGATAGGGCATACCGCCACAATTTGTCTCTTGAATCCGAGTCATTCCAAGCTTTGGGCATCTTGGAGTTTATATTTGGGAATTAGATCTATCTGGGAAAAGGATTCAATATGTCGCAAAATCAAACGAAATGTTCTGCCTGTAATTTAGGTGATCTTTTGTGGGCCGATAAGACCGTGATTCTTACATAAAACTATATAAAACCTATTGCAAGTTCCGTCCATGTGACTCCTGGATCATTTGCTTCTGGAACATGGTCACATGGTGGCCAAGTAATTAGTTGTGAGAAAGCCCAAACTGCGGCGGCTATACGATGGCCACAAATGCAGGACTTGAAGACAAATTGGGGACGGTACCAGGATACCTCGGTACCACGACATACGGACACACTCCACGTGACACCGGGTATGAAGGGTGTGAGAATGTAAACTTTCGGATTGTTACCACACGTGTAGCCATGCAAAACTGTGAATTAATGAAGATGCCTAAGTTCCAGCAGGTAAATCTGCACCGGTATCTATTTCGGCCTAATTAAAGACAAAACGAAGGTATCGTAGTTACGAATTGCGCAAACGTGGCATGGATAATGCCTCCAATTTACGAATGGATCTTGGATTGTGTCGTATAGTGTTCGTTTTTTTTTGCGTCCCACACTTTCCACTTGAGTCTGCACCTCCGTTCAAATTATCTGGGCAAGTTACTTTATTTCTTAGGTCGTCTCCCTCGTGGGCTTAATTTCTTGGCCGCGTTTAGTGACCTCGTCCGCTCATTCGGGTTATCAACTTATAGGGCTTTCCCTCGTCAATTCACGAAAGGAAATTAATACATCGGTATCATTTGGATTGCTGAAATGGTGAAAAATAAACTTTTCCCGATGGAAAAAGTTATTCCTGTCCATGCCTCGTCAGCTAGCGATCCGCACTTTTTAGTCCGTTTCTGCTGCAAGTTGGCGCTGTCTGGTTCTAGGTGGGCTCATCTCTTCCAAAATATGGATGAGATGATGCGTCCTTCTGGCGCTTCGCCGCCGCGGCCGGGGGCGCGGGCGCGCGGCGGTGGCATAGCGCGTTTCCCATTGGATACTTGGATGGGCCTGAGGATCCTTTTGTGTTATTTGCGCATCGTGATTACAAAAGACAACGGAACTTGCACCTTGTAGAAGAAGGTGTCCCCTGTATTTGGGCACACTGCAGTCCCCCTTTGCTCCACCATCTTGCGCAGGACATCCACATGCCACTCCAGTGCACTGTCATTGAGTCATGGGTCTTGAAATCAGGGGTCAGGTGATCCAGGTGCCTCACATCATTTAGAGATGTGTTGAGGATTTCCACAATCTCCTGCTTCCAAAAGCCAATATAAGCACTGGAAATGTTCAGTTCCAGCACGTCCTGGAACCCACACCCGTTCCAAAACTGCTAATGCCGCGCCCGGCTGGTGGGCTCGTGAGCCTCCTCTGAAAAGCCACTGCGCCCATAGCGCCAAACGGAAAGGACGGAAGGAAGTTCAAGGGTCCGTCTGCCTTTAGTTGATGGACGTGCACTGCTATTAACCGTATTCACCAAAAGAGAAGTTGAGGTGCTTTGGGTTTTCTTGGATGCGCGTGTGTGTTGTGTCTAGAGAAAGTCTGAAACAATGTGTCAACGCGGGTGCGAAAACGTGAGTGTGAAACCTAAGGGTTGTAAAGTCTGGCGTCCGTTGGCCCGTGATGTTCCATCGCCACCGTGGCAAGGTCTGACAGAAAACACGCGGCACGGCTAGTGTCTATAGCGCCAGCGATTGAAAATTGGCCTTCAACTTTTGGTCAACTGCCGTCTTTAGACACAGCCGTATATAGTCTCCAAAACTGCTGGCGCGCGCAAAAAACAGTGTGTGGACGATGCCCCTCGTTGGTTCCAAAAAAAGTTGTCGTTCGCTTTTCATTATTGATCTGGAGCAAAACGCAAGTAGACATTTATGCAGCTCCAAGCCTTCTTCGTCCGCGTCGGCTTCCTCCTCATCACGACGACTGACATTCCTTGGAACGATGGGAATCCCCAAGCCATCTCCGTATTAAACTAAAGCAATTTTTTGCGCAAACACCAAGCCAAATGCCGCCGCGTGGCGGCGAGTCTTCGATTTGTTGAGCGATCTCAGAAGCCTGATGTGCTCAAGGAGGATCAAGCACCAAAGTCAAGGACTACAGGATGCACCATAAGTCAAGGAGTAAAGGATCATGCCATCAAAGGATGGCTCAGCCAGAGGGATCTATAAGATGAAGATTGCAAAAATGGTCTTCTACGCAGTGCTGACTCTTCAATGAGCTTAGTGTATGCTGCGCACCAAGTATGTCTTGCAACTGGAGGAGAATGAAGTGTGACGCCAGATGCACTCACATGTCCGTATCGTGGAAGACACTGCGAGTGATTTCGCCGGCTGTTAGTATAATCACATCGCCTTCGTGTGAGACATGAGCGGCGAACGTATGTCTGATGGGTGTGATGTTGAGTGTGGCGCTGCGGGTGCGCGGAAGGAGGAGTGCATCAAACACCCTGAAACATGTACAGCTTCAAGGGGATCGGAATGTATCCGACGATGCTCGCCAATTGCAAAAGAGATGTAGCTAAACAATTAATTAGTCAGAGTCAGAGGGTCCAAAAATCGAGTGAATATATATATATATTTATTTATTTATTTATCTTTCATTGTATTCATCCACTTCACGCTGCGTTCATCTCCAAGTGTTGTCTCGATCAAGCACATTGTATAGTTTTTGTTTGATGTGCATAATCACTCTAGTGTTCGACCACCTTGAACATGGACAATTTCAAGCGGGTCGAAAAATAGAGTGATTATAGAGACTTCTTTTACCTCTCTCTGAGAGCCACTGGTGCGCGAAGCGACCCGAATACCCTCTGAGGTACGGTGATTGGAGGATCCCGTACGGGGGACGTGGTGTCCTGAAAGCCTGGACCGGGATTGCGATCTTCTTAAGATGGCGATCTTCAGGCCAAAAGAACATGTTTTAACCACACAGCATACCACAATCTGTCTTTCCATAGCAGCTGAACTGTCCCTGGATATCTAGTTTAGGAGCGTAGGGAAGTAAACAAGGCCAAAACCACACAGGGCAAAGATCGGTGGCACCCCAACTCCATCCTGGGAAAGCTGTTTCCCGAGCCCTCTTCATCGCATGTTCTGTTTGTTTTGTTTTAAGACTTGGCTTTCCAGTCTAGTCCTTGGCTACGGGTTTTACCTTCAGTGGCAAAACAAAAGAAATCATTAAAATATAAACAAATAAGCTTCTAAAACAAAAGGACTCAGAGTCTGGTTGAGTATGCCCGCGGATCCGCCCTTTTTCGTAGAGGTCCTCTTTCTAAGACCAAACGAACACATCATCGGAGGCCGCTGGACCCCTTCGAGGCCAGAACTGGCAGTGCATCCCCTTCGGTGCAGCCGATGAAAACTCGCAGCGTTCCTCGTAGCAGAAACCACCTGCCTGGCAGATGAGGGAATCCCATCGAATGGAGCGCCAAGGCCATGAATTCCCTAACAATCCATGGGAGCAAAGGCCATGTTACCGATCAGTTGGAGTGGTTGAAGAACAAATGCTGATCGAACGAAAAGGGGTCAATTCCGGGATCGGGATTGATGGTGAAAGAGAGATGTGACGCTTGAAACATGATCACAAGAAGAGAGAAAACTGATCGAACTGGTGAACTGATATGGTCTAACAATTCAAGGGTCTTTAAAGCCATGGACCTTCCAGTCGTGACCGAGCTCCACCGAGGTCACTGGTCAAGGTCAGAGCTGTGTCCATTTCCTCTCAACGGCACTCCAGACCGACCCGAAAAGAACTGCATGATGTTGAAACGAATCGCAGAAAATGGCTGGTGCTTTCAACTCACAATCACTCAAGGACCTTCCAACAGTTCACCACCTGCGATTTTAAGTCTACAAAAGCCTCCGGAGGAGACCTCTTGGAAGGTGCTGGTATAATAAATATAATATACTATATTTTATATATCATATGAAATCTAATATGAAATCATGGTGAGTTCCTCTAATAGACCGAAGAATTGCACGCTGCCACGCTGCTTGGTGGTTTCAATTCAACAAACAAAGTGGGTGAACAACTGGTGAACAATCATAGCAACTGAAGGTTGAACATATATCTGAAACCACCACCAAAACAAATGGGGTGCGGTTCTTGACGCTCAGTCAGACACACACACACAGTCACAAACCGTCGCAAAACCGTGTATGTTGGGTTTCACCGCCAAATCTTCAAGTTTCGTACTTAATAATAGATATCGATGGCTTATAGATCATAATCTAAGGCCTAGCAGGTACAGAGGCAAAACAGGGAGAGTCACTGCGAAACACCATGGAAGTCGGCAGTCACAACCGAGTAACCCATACTCACAAGTGACCTTAGTACTACAGTGACAGGCAGCAAATTCACCGGGAAGAAACAACTCACACACACACACCAACATGTATTAGTCTCCCTGAAATCATCACCCAGACACTCCATGAATGGAATCTATGCATACATTGACCTGGCACCACCCCTGGCCTGATCGGCAGTCCTATGGCAGTCCCATGGCCAGGTCGTGTCTGGGAGTCCCTCAGTGAAGTTCCTCGCACATCGGTGTCATCCACTTCCGATGTTCGGGATGTCTTAACCTGAGAGGGAACCGGGCCTGAGGAAAGCCTGCAAGGCCCGGCTGATGTTCATCCGCGCCAGCGTGGATGGAGGCTACAACCCTCAAAGGGGTGATGTGGAGGTTTCCATCAATGCCCCAAAAGGATGGTGTTATGATCAAACAACCCCCAAAAACCGATTGGAATCCTTTGGGGGTTCCCCCCATTGATGGAAACCCATGAAATGTATGGGTTTTCTCAGAGCATCTCCTTCCAAACGTTGGCCTCCAACCACCAGGAATCCGACCACACCCTCGGAAAGCGTCCCCATCCCTCGCCTTGGGCAGGTCGACCGACCTCTCGGCCTTCGCCTGAAGGGGAAGACGGCGAGGCCCTGGCAGGTTTAAAGGGAAACTCTTCAACCTGCTTGACACTGTGGGTGACCAGACCGCGAACTGCGCCCACCCCGCGCCCTCCCAACTCGACCACAGGGTCAGGGATCCAAGTCACATCAGACGACCGACCGAGAACTGCCCCCCCCCGCCCCCCCGTTTTTCTAGGGATTCAAGTCACAGGCCCAGGCTACGTTTTAGAAAACATGGTCTGGTGAAGAAGGGCACCCTCTCTATTTCCACATTCCTTTGGGGAGTCAAACTGCGATTGCAAAGTCATCAACATCACCATCCGATTCCAAAGGGGCTTCTAATGCCGATCCATCAACCTCCGCAAATAGGACCCGTCACCTGGGGTACTTATGGGATAGTCTACTATAGGGTCCTTCACCCTCTGTCGGTACTGTACTCAGTCTATTTCCTCCCAAAGCTCTTGGAACTGCGCCAGCGGCCAGGAAGATCTTCTCCCCTATCCCTCGAGGCCTCCAATGCCAAGGCAGCCAGGTTCGCCACTTCCTGAGTGAACCGATGAGTGTGGCCATTTCTTCCACCTGGAAAACCGCTGGTTCGCAACACGCGCGCGCGCCTCTCGACTAAGCAGGCGCTTGATTTCTTCCAAGTGTGAAGGGCACATGGTGAGGACGAGCACATGGCGATGCAGGACTGATGGATCTGAAGACGGGGATCGAACCAAACCTACAACCTGACCATGATATGGTCGACCTGTATTGGCCCTGCTTGAGGTGAAGTCGTTGGTAGGGAAGTTCGACTCTTGAGATGCGGGTCTTCCGCGTTTCGGCGCCAAAAAGCCGTGGATCACACCGGGTCCACTGTGCTGTGGGTGGCTGGTAGCCCCACACCCTGGTAGGTTGACCTCGGCAGTCGACTTCGTCTATCGGTAGTCAAACAGGGTTCTACGCAGCCATCTACTAGACTCGACTTCTAGCCTCTGCCGCCTCCCATTTTGGGGGGCGTCCGTGAATTCAACTCAGCGTCGCCATAGCTCTTCGTGGCATTGGCCACCTCGTTGACTGTCTGGGCCACAAAGGCACCTGAGCCAGGCGCGAAAACTTCGTCGATTCCCTCTCGAGCGAACATGGCTCAGAAACTATAGAGGACTCGCAAATCGTGAAGCGATTAGTTGGGGTGGTGAAAGTTTGTAGTCAATTTAGGCAAAAATTGCAGTCCCGTTTTTCATCTTGCCTGGGAATAGTTTCACCAAGTTGCCAAGTTGTAAATTGTGGCAACTACAAATGGCTGATCGCCTAGGAGCCTGTCAACCGTTGTTACCTGCTTGCTCGAGGTTTTGTGCTTGTCTGAGAGGTAGAAGCAAGGGTTGGTGAGGCTGTTAGATCAAACCGCTGCTCTCGTCTTTTAGATCAAAACCATGGTGCATGCGCATGCAGGTGCATGCTAAGGAAAAAACCTCACCAACGCAATCATTCTCACGGATTCACTCCCTTCAGGGACGAGTTCGCAGACCTGCACTTGAAATGAGCTGGACAAACCCCCTTGGGACTCTCCCTTGGGTCTACCCACTGGGGCCCAGTGGATAATGGTGAGTCAAGGCCTTTCAAATCGTGTCCTACCTGGTTTGAGTTCCTATGACAGGTAGGACCAACCCAAGCTCTGCGCAGCTTGGCAGATCCCGAGCGGCGACCCGAACGCCATCCATTCCACCACACCGACGATCGATGCTTCGATGATCTTCGATGTGTTTTGTCTTCTTTTTTCACCCGCACACCCGTGAGAGCACATGGGCAGCACATGGAATGGAGGGCTTCTTTTTTGGGGGTAGCAACAAACAAGTTGGATACTCTGTTTAGAACCAGGACGATTGACTGAAGTCGTCAACCGGTTACATAGGTTCAAACTCTTGTAGAAAAGCAAAGAAATGGATGGCTGCATGAGTGGGCAATCCACCAAGAATCTCATATGAAGTAAAAAGTGATAGGATATAGAACTTGATAGAACCTTTGCTCACTCCAAAACACAATCTACAGTACCTGAAGTTGTTTTTCTGTGCCCATCCTGGTCCAAACTTTGTTGCCAGATCACAAGTGCGACATTTCTCTTGTCGAAGGCACCTCAGGTGGTTTCAAGGCGTCTTTGGACAGAAATCGCCAGAAGCGCTGGTATACTCTCAAGAAAATTACCCTCCCTGAAACAATCATGGAAGCAGAATACAGCCTGTTCGTAGAGGAAAACAGTCTTCCAAGGGGCCATGTTCCATTTCCATGTTTGTTGGATGGAGGGTAACGTGGATGGCACCACCTGTTTGGTATTCGGAAATGAGTCATTCGAAGTCGGGGTGACATGCCATCAACGGCCGGGCCCATGATTCCTTCAGGAATGCAACCTTCTTCTGGTAGAAATTGCTTTCACCTTCGTCTGGTGAACCTATTTTAGTCCAACCCCAGCGGTCGTTTCACGGCCAGTCATCCAGTCCATGGAAACCCATGTACCCGAGTAATTCGAGTAGGACGACTCCAGCTGCTCAAACAAGACGGGTTGCCGTCTTCCAGCTTCTCAAGGCATTTTACTGAAGGTCTTCGAGGTCCAGGTTCATGATTCTATTCTATCTGATCCCTGTTGGGACCCAACAAAAATTCACGACGTGTCTGTCTATATAATTTTCTTGGAGAGTTCAGACTCCAGTGACAACCCTTGCGGAGTTGCTTCGTTCATTCACCAAAACTGGGAAGCCAACAGGTGGCTGTTCTTCAAATTGGTCCCCCTGAGATTTTGACTTCCATGAGGAAAAGCAAAAACAACTGCGGATTTTCACACAGGTTTTCACTAGTCTTAAAACAACACACGCTTTCACTGGTTGGATCTGGCTGGTGGTTTCAACTCAGAAAAGTATGAGTCAGTGGCTTCAATCATCCCAAGTAAATGGTCAAACAATAAACATCTCTGAGACTACCACACAAACATTGAGTGTTGCAAGGGTCTTTTCTTGCCGTTTGGAGTTGTTTTCTTGCCATCAAGTCACTGTGTGCACTGTGAGGAGTAGTAGTTGGGATGTCCTGGAGAACCTCAGAGACATCCACGGACGGACGCTCTCGGACGCTCTCGGCCGCTCCGCTCTGCATGAAGGCGGCTGAGCGAGACTCAGTTACGTCCGGCCAGTTGCGACCGGGCACACCCGTTCCGGTGCCAATTCCCAGATCACTCCATAGGACTGCAGAAACGGCCAGGGGTGGTGGTGCCAGACGAATCGTGCTTGATTGGCAGTCCATCCTGGCAGTCCCATGGCCAGGTCGTGTCTGGGAATTGCGATCGACCCGGAGTGTGTCGTCCAGGGTCGATCTTCCCAGGACTTCCCGGGGTCGATCTCATTCGTGTCCGGTCCCCGTTCCGGAAGAGCCAGTGAAACGGCCGGTCGGCCATGGTCTAACCAGTTCTTCCCACAATGAACTAGACATAGGCTGAATCCCGAACAACCATTGTTTTACTGATTTTGCAATATACACAACCAGGTTGTTCCAATTTTGACAGGTCGAACAGAAGGCTAGGGTGCAAAGGAAAATCCCATCACTTCGTACCCATGATTTCCCCATATGTCCTCTGTGTGAACCTCCCCGCCATCCCACACGTCCCGTCCGTGTCCATCCGTCCGCAGAACGTGGCGAACGAACGACCCGCGAAAAGCACCGAGAGGCACTGGTTCTGGCAGTTCGCCACTGCACAGGACAAACCTGAAAGTGGAGACGCAGAGCGCAGATTGGTTTCATGGACGAACTATGCTCATAAGAAACCGGCAGGCCCGGATTCGTGGCATGCCTATAAGCGATTGCTTAGCACTGACTCTGAGTGAAGTCACCGGAGGCTGAGGCTTGTAAGTGGTTCTCGCTAATTAGAAAACTGCACGTCTGACCACCTGGAATCAACACGGAAGTGGAGTTCACCAGCTGTTTGTAGTGGGTTGGTTTCATGGTCTTCCTTACGGGACCAGGCCATCCACTTCCATGTTAGTTCCAGGGAGTGTAAACCTTTTTCGCTCCGTTGGGGCCTCAGAGTTGGCCTGGCACAAGACTAGTGGGTACCATCAGATCATGGGATCGCCTCAATACCCACTAGCGGCCATGGCCAAGAGCCCAGGCGCCCAGGTCTCAGGAACTCGTTTTGTTCGGCCTTTTTCGTTCCAACCAAGTTCCAACGAGAGGGGGCGATTATTTTTCGGAGAACACAGCCATTGCACCGCACCATGGCGGTTGCAAAGAAACATGGAGAGATACAATTCAGAGATCATTAGAGACATTTGAGTGGGTGGCGCATTGGAATCCCCCAAAAAACGGGTACGCAGTGTATACCCCAGTGAAACATGATGGTTAACAATGGTTAACATGGATCTGCTTGAAGAGTGATTTTAGGAGAACGCTTGAGTTCCAGTGATTGCCAGTTGCCAGTTCACTTCCGGCATCTAAATTATTGACATACACATCTGAAAAGCTATTCATTGGACCCTGGTGCAAAACAAAAGCCCCTCGCCTTCGCCTAAGCATCCAGCGCAGTTCTGCTGCACCCCATCGCTCTGCAAACATGCGCCCAGGCAAGTGGCATCCACTGGGCCAGGCCGGCAACCGGGTCGCGGGGTCGTGGAGGTGGGTGAGGTCATTCGCTGGAAGGGAAGAATGGAACGCGCGCGGAATGGAACATCCCGCCAGCTCACAGGATAGACTCCCTATAGATCCACTTAGCTGGAGGGTTGCGGGTAGATCCACTCACCGATTCATCTACTTCGAGAGAGAAGTCTAAACTGCACCGGAACATGGAACTCCTGGATTTCTTTAGTGCTAAATATCAGTTCGTTAGAGCCTACGTGGTGATTCAACTCACGGTCATGGTGCCGTCAAATTTGTGCTCTTATACATGTGGGCTCGCAAATTGTAAGGCTATGTAAATAGATTGTAAATACCAGGACCCCATTTCGGGGCTTCTATTGATAGCCCCTTAGAGGTGATTCGGGGTGTCCATTAACCACCCAAGTCCAGTGGGTCCTGGTATTATATGTGTCATACAGCATCAAAAAATGGATGTCACCGTCCGACTTGGTGACCCATTGGATGGTCCTGGTATGTGTCCTACAATCATGTTTATCCACCTCATTCCGTACACATGCCAAAGGTCCCAACGCTCCGCTCCACGCGAGCGCGCCACGCGACACGCGAAGGCTCCACGCGAACGCGCGCCTTGCTCTCCGTCAACGCATCCCTCCGTGGTCGCACACTTCAACACCTTCTCCTGCGTTCAGCGATGGAATGGGACCCTCGGATAGGGTCGCCGACGAAACAGTGCGGAGGCGAAAGAAGCACCCCGATTTCGGGGCAGCCTGAACGAACCGCGGCGTGGCTGATTTGGACGAATCTACTTGGTGGTTGTTCCCTGCCACTCCATGGCACACTTCGCTGATTTGTCAACCTGATTAACCCCCTTTTCAACCACCCCACCTGATTCGTTGGTCTCAGCAGGCCCCCAGGAAAAAAAAGTTCAGCGGCTGGTGGATGGTTTCGCCGATGGGGACACAGATGATCGCGCCAATGAATCGCCTGTTATGAACCTAGGGCTCCAGTCGTACCTTCGTTTCGAAGGTGGGACTGAGGTGGGTGCCATGTTCGGGTCCAGTCATACCGAACCTGAGGAGGTACGACTGGAGCCCTAGGGATTAATCTCTTCATCTTTAAAATGAAGACCTCTCCAAGTTATAGTCTGGCCACTTGCATTTGGTGATGGCTCCCCAAGTGAGTTTCTGCCTTCCGCAAGTCGGTGGTTGGCTCCCGGGCGTCCCCTTCTTTCCAAGCAATGCCACCCCACCTCGTCCTCGTTCTCGTTTTCGGCTCGGATCGGGTTCGACCCCTCATCCGCCATGCCCACCACCCGTCTTTGGCATCCATCCCTCTCCTTGTTCTCAAGGAGGCAAGATCCATCGACCAAACTGGCCAACGCCAGGAGCACTGCTGGAAGCTTCATGGACCTCGCAGTTCTGCAGCTTCTCCGATGACAGAGCGATCGTGGGAGCATCCATTGGAGCCGGGTTTGGAGCGTGGGGGGGTTGGGTTGGAGCGTTTTTTGGAAACTGAGGTGGTGACTGAAAGTGGGATCTGCAGCTTCACTCATCGATTTATCGATAGACCTTGGACACCAAGACAGGTTACCCCAAGTAGGAGGTGGTGCAACTATTGACCCCCATTGCCCATCTGCCTAAGACATCTTGCGGTGCCAGTGCCATCGAAGCCTCTAAGCGGCTTATTGATCAGCTGACCTTTGCTTGGATTTGCTTAAGGAACTTAAAGGAAATAAAATGAAATAAGAATACATATTTATGAGAATTTATATACCCATAAGCAAAATCAGGTTTGTGTACTGAGTCGAGCCTTTCAACGCAGTTCTGGACCTCCCACAACTGGAAGTGCTCATCCATGGTCCATGGGTTCCAGGCTGCACATAAGGACAGGGACCATTGACCCCGGATTCAGTCATCAAAAGGTTTTGTCTTACAAATCAATATTGACAGACAGTGGTTACTAGGGACGTAGCTCACACGATCACCGACAGATGTTGGGCACCACAAGATTAGCATGATTAGCATGGATACAGATCGTTTAGTCTTTGTGATGTCAATTTATCCCAATGGTTGACCACTACCAAACAATATTGACATGTCAAGAGTGGGAAAAGAACATTGACATCCACTTCGCAAAAAGCACAAAACCCACGACCTGTGAAGGAAAAAAATAACGGTCAAACAGAACACGAGTCCTGGTTGGGAAGGCCTCCTTTTCATCAAGGCTTCCGGGTGATCGTTCGTTGCTGGGCCAAGGCCTGGCAGGCCTTCGTTTGTTCCACACACCCGCCGAGACACCTTCGTTCGAGGATCGGCCGCGGACCGGGACAGGCACTTTTGCTACGCTCAAATAGCTGCAGAGAAAGACCGGCGACCGGAAGAGGAGTGTGTATCTGGCAGTAGACCTCTTCCTTTGGTTGGTGTCGCTTGAGTAAAGCCTGTATCTACACAACCCTAAGAGGTAGACCATTTGGAGCCACCAATTGGCACCCCTATATGACACCCAGCTCATTTCGGTAGCACATGAAATAAATGGATCATTTGGGAACACTGATCCTGTTTGGCCAACAAGCTACCCGAAACAGACCTGCTTTGACCCGACTGCACTTTCCTTTTGGAGAACACACCTGGAGCCTTCTCCGGCGAGCCAGCCGAGTGTTTGCTCGGGGTGACACAGTCGGTCGGACCGAACCGAATGCTTCGGGGTGTTTCCGACCCACAACGAACGCGATGAGAGTACTTTTGGGATTGCGAACTGCAATGGGCCATACAAGTACTATACATACAGTCATACTCTAGCCTCCCACAAAGTGACTAAGTACATGGTCTTTGTGTCGTATCAGTGTCGACTGCGTCTTCTGTCAAGGTATGTCAAGGTTAAACTCTGATCTCTCACCTTCGAAATCTCCCAGCCCGACAGAGTTGGATGCTGTCTTCAGTTTCCGACCCAGTCGCAGTCGAGAGATCACCGCTGTTTTGTGGGGTGGGTATCTATATCCAGTACATCTTAGAAAATCAGACTATTAAATCGCTGAAGAATCAAAACAAGACTCCCTGAAAACACTCATGGAATCTGAAACCATCACCACCTGTTTGGTATGCGGAACAAATTAGGCCATTTTCCCATCCACGCATCCTTTCCGGGAGTGTAAAACCTGATGGCCCCACCCTTCGCAGGACCTTCCCAGTGACCGAACTGTGGAGTTTCCAGTGACCCTTAGACAGGCCTGTTTGTGGCCTCAGGGGATCAACGTCGGTCTTTGGGAAGATCCAGGAAGGTCTGTATTCGATGTGAGCGAAGCCGAAACCGAGGCAAAAACCGTTCGTTCCAGGCTGCACAAACATTGATTGCCCAGCACCTTCTTGCATTTTCAGGGGGACCCTAAATCCTAAATTTCAGCCAATCCCAGCTCCATTGGAGTTAAAATACACAGGGTGATCTCAACTGTTCCTTTCCCAAGCCTGAAGATCCAAAGATCCCTGCCCATCTGAGAAACCAATGGGACTACCAATGGGAACCCATCGTGCGTCAGACTGCTAAGTTAAACTTCTTGCCCAAATTGAGCTGGAGTAACATGACACGACCGGTGTCAACACCATCTATGGACTCAAAAATGTAATATGTCCCTTACAAACGCCCCTTGAGGCTTCCAGGAATGAGACCCCCTCAACCAAAACTCAACCAAAACCAAACGACCAGGTGGGACTCCACACAGCACCTCCATACCTGTAAACCCTCTACCTCGCCTCATGCATCCGAAGCAAAACACCCGCCTCATGCGGATCTACTTGAGCTTGCTAGGAGAGAACCTCAGCAACTGAAACAGCTGGGCCAGGGTTTTGAGATCGCCGAAGGGTGAACCCGCAGGGGCGACCTGGGGGCTGTCCGACATCGAGGTCCGTTCTTCGGCCTTTCGGGCGATGCCACGCGGCAACCATCGTTGTCGTTGTCCTTTTCCGGGCGATGAGACGAGTTGGGGTTCAACACCTCCTGTGCCGAGATCAGCGACTTCCATGAGCGAAAAGACAACGATTCACCCAAACCCTGTCCATCTCGATGCTGGGAGTCTGGTGTTTCCAATCCCCCTTTGCAGAACCGTTTTGCAGATGAGCCATATTTTCCCTGGGTCGGAAATTACATGGTACGGTTACAGGATTCTGAACCTCAAAAGTATGGTCCAAAAAAAAGGGTCTGCAGCCTCCATCTAAAATTTCATCCATGGAAATGGTCGCATCGTCTCCTGGAACAGTTCACCAAATCTGCCCATGTGTTTGCCACAGGAATAAGCCTGAGAACACATAATGCAAAGTAAATGCAGTTTTACAAGATCACGGCCGTCTGGTCAAAAGTCGTTGGCAAATTGCAAGTGGCGCAAAATGTTGGCAAATGTTCGGACGCATAGTCGTCTGCGCAACAACCTCTCGCCAAGTGGCTCGGGACCTTCTCTTGCAGCTCCATGTATAGCTCATCTTTGCACCCAAAAAATTATGGATACATGTATGTATCCATGTATACCTCTCTTTTCCATGTATAGCTCATCTTTTCCACTCATCTTTTCTATGAGTGGCATTGGAACATTGGCCCACCTCCCACTCCCTGCTAGTCACCCTCGATCGGACTGGTCCTGCTGGTTCAACCGGGGGTACACCACCACATTGAGCTGTTTTTGGGGGGTCATCTCTCCATGTTCCAGCACCATTGGGTCACAACATGTCGGACCAAAGATTTCTATCACTCCAATCCCTGCAGAAGGCACAAAAACACCTCCTTGCCGCTCCACTTGGGCACATCAAACAATTCGCCCTGTCCACGAAGACAGATCGGTGTGAACTTCTCGTTTGACATCGACTGAGGCTTCCAGCCAGAGACTGTAGCCCGGCACTTTCACGCACTTGGGCAAGTCCACCTTGGACCTGCCAAAGGCGCGCGCGCGCGCGCTTCGGCGCTTCATGGAACAGAATGTCGTCGCAAATGGTCGGAGTTTTTGCACTCACTCATCCCTTCTTTGGGTGTGGGAACCAGTGGCTTCGAATCCGGTTGGTAGAATCCATATAAGGATCAACGCACTGATCAAAGCTAGTCAATGACTCCAAGTGGATCAATTGGCAACTTCTGGTGAACTCCAACTGCGATGAAAGTGCTATGACTCTATGCTTCCCATGGTTATGTCCTTTCATCTCGCAAGCTCATTCAGTTGTCCTCCGTCGATTCGTCGTTCTTCTCCAGTCACTTGTGTCGTGTCCAACGGATGCCGACGAATGGCTGGTGGAAGATCCTCCAAGCCACATGTGGGTGTGTCCAGCAGAGGTTGAAGAACCCTAGTTCGGCTATCCTAGTTTGGTACCCCAGGTGACAGGTCTTATTTAAGGTCACTTAACCTCTGATATGTTGATGTGGAGGCCCGTGGTGGCTGAGGGAAGTCCGGCAAATATTGACCGAAGAATCCGGAGGATCCAACGGGGAAGTCTCGCTATTTGAACTAGACACCCAGAACTTACCAGCCTCTCATGGGTAAGTCCCGCAGCCAAATCACAGCCTGTGACTCCATGCAAGAACCGTTTCTCAGGCCACATGCTTGCAAACTCTGCAAGCTCAAGTCTGTATTGGTTCTCATTATCCAGGGATCTGTTGTGCCCATCTGACATGTCTCCGGATGGCAAGGATGAGTAGGGCCGATACTGCAGCACGTGAACTGCTGTGCCTGGAACAACCTTTCCACACTTCCTAAAGTCGCACCACTGATCAAGTTGTTCACATCAAAGGGGATCCAAGAACAAATACAAGGCTTTGGAAAAACTATTCCATACCCGGGCCCAGGACTGTTTTGGAGGGATTGAATAATGAGCAATTCTTTTCCACACCATGTGTCGCAATTGTTTTCAACATGTTTCTCAAATTTCTCTTGCAAAACCAATGGTGTCCTTTGAGATTTCTCGCATTCTTTCAGCTTTCCTGGCTGAGTCATTGGGCCCTGATGTTTCAGAGTTTAAAGCCCTCACAAACCGTACAACGAAAAACCGCTTTGAGCTTTCTCAAAAGCCGCTGTTTTTTCGCAGTTCCGCCAGCCGAGCCATTGGACTTGGATGTCGTCCGGTTTCCGGTTGTTTCATGTTTTTCTTGTTGGGTATTGTTTGGACTTGGATTATAATCAGTTGTTCTTTATTGTTTCATGTTGGTTCTAATGTCCTTTCAAAACAATACCCAAACAAACTCTCTGGAATGTTTATTTTGGAGACTTGTTCTTCACTCTCCCTCAATTGTCAATTGTTTGCCAGAGGCGGGGTGCTCGAATATTATTGGAGAGGAAGTTGCCTCTTAAAGCCAGAACACAAGTAGCAAAACACCACTGTTTCCCCACGCTATAGCTTGCAGCCCATCGCTAGAAAGAACGCTAAGCGAAAAACCTCTGCTGGGTGGCTGTTTCCTCAAGACATCGATCAGCGCTCCAGCTGTTCGTGTATCCCGCCTCAACCAGCAATTGCCCACACGACCTGAGCGTTACATGCTGGAAGGGATTCTGATTCCCCGAAGCAGGAAGAAGCTGCACAAAGAAAATCTTGGCTCACCAAACCGTGAAAAAAGATCACCTATACTCTTTAGGGCTCCAACCATATCCTCAGAAGGTGGTTAGACCCCCCAAACCCACCCCAACCATCTTCTCAGGAGGTGGTTGGAGCCCTAGGGACAGTCTCCTACCTCTGAAGCTGTCTCCTGCACCCGAGATCAGGGATCGATCACTCCCTATGGATATACCTTGCCACCGTACCTCAGAAAGTATGACTGGGCCCGACCCTGGCGCCTACATAAGACTCCAATCACTGTACTGTTCGGTATGTGGATGCATAGGGACTGGAACCAGCCCACTACTATCTTACTAAGCTCTCACAACGACACGACACACTTGTGAGCATCAAACCCACTGACACATGGCGAAGTCTCACGAGGAAAGCATGATCCAAAAGACACCTCCCTAAGAATCATTGGACCTGACCCACTGTCTGGAGGGTCTTGGACCCTGTTTGTGTCCTCGCAGGGGTTTGTGCCCTCAAAACCTTCGCCGGATCCTTGGGCTCTCTCCGGGTGGAAACCTTGGACCTCTGCATCGTGTCTCGCTCTCCGTGTTCGGACGCCCTTGCGGAGGGTGCAGCCGTCCAACTTACTACACCTCCTGGCCCGACCTCCGAAACTCGCTTCGATGGTGATGGTGCCGGCCGAGACGCACCGAACCTGAGGGTATGGGTTCAGGAGCCCTAGGGCCCCAGGGGGCTGGACTGGTTGCGTAGTTCAGGGACCTGTGCCCTGAACTCCACCGTTTTGGAGTGGAGAGTACTGTACTGAGTAGTTCTGTGCGGACGAATCGTCGTTCACCTGGGACGAAGTAAGACCTATATACTAAATCATACCTACTAAATACTGTTCAACTGTGCAAAATGACTGCATACATGTCCTAGTCGTCTAAAAGAAGCAGCCAAGTTAGGCAGACATGTTGCATAGTCGATAGTCGATCAAGACTGAACAACAGTGACCGAGTTTCCGTCACTGAACCGAGCTGAATAGCCTCCCTCGGACCGGGCACAGATCTGAAGGTCCTGGTAGCTAGGTGAATGCAAATGACCACAACCAGAGATCACATTCTTGGCAAGCTATGTTGGTCTTCCTATGGTATATATCTGTATTATCAGTCTATTTTTTGGCCTTCCTGGAAAATTCTGCCTGGCTGATCTGGCTTCTGGCAGGTTCCCTTACACATCTCCCCCAAAAAACCACATACAAAAAAGCCTGCTTTGCTTCGGCCCCAGCGGCCAAAGTCTTGGTAAAGTGAGGCTTCACAGGAGTCCACCTTGCTGCACTCCTGCAGGGAACGGGGCCGAGGGAACGGGCCGACCGCAGCGATGGGGGCTCTGTGACTTGGATGTGGGGCTCTCAGGAAGCTGGGGAAGACTGAACATCTTCCCCCAGGTTTGGGGAATTGATCCAGCTCGGAGTTCGGGAAAAAGAAGTCATCTGGGATGGCAAAAAAGACAGGGTGAGATGAGCCAAAAGGCAAATGGTCTGTGGTCAAAACTGATGAATGACATCGGTGTCAACAAGGACGGGTATGTGTCATCCACCAAGTTTTTATGGGCTGTGGGTCAACACTGAAAATGAAGAGATCATCTAATTTACGGGATGTCAACCAAACCCATGGATTGATGGGGAGGTTAAGTTCCTCACAGCCATTTGACAAAAATGTGTTTTGTTGTTTAGTTCCTTTAACACAGAACTCTGGGCTCACTCTCTAAGTAGGTCTTGAGAAATAGCGGACAAAGTCATTTGGCCAAATGTGTTGAAATCCAAGCAAGTTTCTCCAAATGGTTAATCTTTGACTTGCTTTCCCTGTTTGAAGAATCAAGAACACTCAAGGAAAAGAGGGAGCGTATGACTCTATGATGAAAGGGGGGGTGTATGATTCTATGGCGTGTCATGAAGTGGAGTACGCCCAGAATCAGTCTGCTAAGAGGGTTGGTCGTTGATCTTCACTGCTACACAATCGTCTTGCAGTCTTGCAGTTTTTGTTGGGCCCTCAGTTCCAAAGCAATATTAACACAAAAACAGAACTCAACATGTCTCAAGCACCCTGAGGGCATTGTGCGGTCTGTTAAGTCAATGTTTGTGAGAATTGAGAATCCTTCCTTCACCCTACCTATATATATATATATACTTAGTAAAATCCGTTTGCTGTGAGGAGACCAGCTGGTGTACATTCAGAACGCAAGCGGCAGGCAATGGTAGGCTGGCAGCTGGTCCTGATTTACATCATAGAGCTTGTCTCAAAGCACAAGCACATTCTATACTAAAATACATGAGCCAGCAACGCAGTAATGATCAGGAATGGAATGGATAAAGAAATCACAAATTCAGAATTTCAACCCCAAACCATCCGAAAGTGTTTTAAACAAATACCCTACAGATCGATACAGTATACATTCTGTATACTGTATCCAACACCAAGAACGGCTTACTGACAGAAATCACTCAACAACAAGAACTCCCATCCTAAAACCACTCGGAAACCGACCCACGCGCCCCTTCCGGCCGACCAATGCCGATGGTTAGGCCGGATGCATCGGATCCATTCGCTCTCCTTCAGGCATTCTTCCAGGGGCAAAAGCCCCACGAAGTCCTTGCCTTCCGCAGTCGCAGCTCCTGCGCCCCAGTAGCAGTTCAGATCCTGCGCGTGCCGCGGCGCCGCGGGGCGCGGGGCGGCCGGCTGTGGGTGGGGTTCAGAGAGATTCCAGGTTTGATCTTTTGGGAAGTTGTCCAGTTCGACCAGAAGTGTATACTTGGGATGGATGTGGATGGATGCCATATATTTCAAAGCACGATGAATCAATGTACATTGTAACTATAAGCCCATGACTTCTCGCACTCTTGCCAATGAACTGCAGGGGCGGAAGAACTTGAAGCCAACCTAAACCAACGATCCGGTGCTTGAAACAAGTGGAAGATACAAATGAAGGACAGTCTTTTGATGCCATCAGACTACATCGTTGCACCAGGAAAACACATCGTTGATCGGCTGCCTTCACGAAAACACACACCATAAATCGAAGAGTAGTACAGTGGTTTCAGAGTAGATGGCGCAAACCCCTACATGTCCTTTAGATGGGGGTTCATATAAACCACCTCTTGGGGATTGTGCCATCTACTCTGAACCCTCTGTACGTGATTTAACACATCTCCACACGTGACTCATATTGGGCCTGTGGGGTCGACCCGTAGAGAAAACTCATGGCGCCGGGGCACGTCCGCTCTCGTCCAAGCTGGCAGGGTCAGTGGAGCTCCGGTGTGGTCAACCAGGGTTCCCTGGTTCCATGATGTGCCTTGACCCATTGCCATAGACTCAGTCGACTGACGTGTACGGTGACCAGGTGACCTGTCCCAGCTCTCCACGCCGTGCAAACGGCGTGCGAACGATGTGTGATCAGCGCCCCCCCCCCCAAACAAAAGAAGAGAATCTGCCAGCAGTCACAAGGTAAGGGGTGCTATCCATGGAGGTTAGGGGTGCCCACTGTCCACTTAAAAACCACCCCTTTGTGACCCCTGGTGTTGGTGAAGGCTTTACACAGGGGTTCGATCGAAAACAATAAACGCGCGTCCGGACTGTTGCTGGAAGTGAGATCCCATTCATCCCATCGGCTACAAACCTCAGCTGCGACAACAGATCTGTCGATTTCATTGTGCCTTCAGTCGACTCCTTTGCATGAGTTTTTTTCTTTTTGTGAAGCAAGCAGAACAGATTCGAATTAGACATGACTCACTATACTCTCCCTCCAAAAAACCAAGAAGTGGACAGCCCCCGCTTTGCAGAGGAACATGATCTTTCCACGAGCCATTTTCTTCCGGATTCCATGATTGTAGGGAGGGTAAGCATAATTAGACGAAGCTTCCGCGCACCCTCGCACCCTCGCTTGTCATGTGCTCCAGACTTGGCCTTCCAACGAACGCCCAAAAATCTCGTCGAAGTCGTCGACAGTCGTCCGTTCTTGGATTCGCGGCGTTACCGCGCGGCGCGGCGCGGTAACGCGCGGTGGGTTCGTCCGTTCTCCTCGGCTTGTTTCCAGGAGCCCCGCAGAGAAGTGACGGTGCGGGTGCTCCTTGGAGCGGAGAAGGGCGCCGAGACGGCGCCAGGCGGAGCGAGCGCGCCGTGAGAGAGAGAGAGAGATCTCGTTGCATCGTCGAGTGGGGGCTTTAGCGTCGAGTGGATGCTTGACAAATTGAAGAGATCCTGGTTCTGAAAAGCAGTGTTCAAAGGGACAATCAGTGATTTTAGTGATTTTAATGCTGCAAGAACACCAACAAAGTGCTGGAGTACGAATGAGCAAGCCCCCGATTTGGTCGCCTCTTTAAAAGCTCCTTTCACATTGATTCTGACGAACAGATTTCTACTGTTTCTCAGGTATATATAGGAGGCCGATCCGGATCGACTCGGCGGAAGGCGGCTCGATTGAGCTGACACGATCCGAATCCCTGACGTTGGGAGGAGACACAGCGAACTACGAACAGTTCAGCTCCGCCCTCCCGGTTCTGCTGAACACACCAGATGGATCCATCTGGTCATCAGTGCCATATCCTTTGTGAAGAGAGAGAGTGAGAGAAGAGAGAGAGAGAAGAGAGAGAGATAGAGAGAGAAGAGAGAGAGAAGAGAGAGAGAAGAGAGAGAGAGAAGAGAGAGAGAAGAGAGAGAGAAGAGAGAGAGAAGAGAGAGAGGGGGGGGGGGGGGGAGTGGGGACAGCTTGAGGCTTGGAGATGAGGCTTGGTGAAGAAGTTCCCCCCCGAAATGGATGTCGACGTAAGGACTATACCTACCTCTGGGAAGTCCCTCAAATCGTGTGAAGATCCCATTTGGGTCCGAAGTCTGGAATAGCTCCGACTAAAAATGACCATCATGTGAAATTATCTCGAATATTCTTGAAATATTATGACATAATGATATGTCTGATGACTAATGACTTATAGACTTATATTTCAAATATATATATATAATGCATCATATCCCTCCGATCTGTGCTGGTTTTCCATCAGGTTCCGCCTTCCGGCGCAGCAGCATTTTCCTGCGCAGCAGAACTGCCAGGTCCGTCCCCGTTGGACGTCGGCTTTTCTCCACCAGGATGCTGGGTCATCGTCGTGGTGGTCATGGAGGTCGATGTACCTGGAGCGTCATGATGGATCTATGTACATCGTGTACATAGATCAGGATAGATCGTACAGTGGATCATATGGTACATGGAAATGTTGGCACATGGAAAACTGTGGAAAAATGGTACATGGAGCATGGCATGGAAAAGTGGGTACCTCTCGTTGCTCTTGGGAACACCGTTTCTCAGGCGGTCGCCTGTGGCTAGAACATGCGTGCATCTAATTACAAAGATGTGCGAGTTGACCACTGTGCCTCAACAGCCTGAATTCTTTCGGACCACAAAAGCCTGATCTTGTTCGCGAATGAAAACACGTGGCGCTTTAGAGCGGCCCAAACTGAGTAGTAGAATGCTCCCTACTTCGACAGGCACTGAATCTTTTGGGCAGCATGCTGTGCCCCGCGACACATCCTTACTCTTTCCAGTGAGTTCTGGTGGGTGGAGATGTACAATATGGGAACAGGAACAAGAATAAAAACACCTGGCAGGACAATGTACACCCACCTCACCAAAGCATATATGTGGGGCCTTTGCCACTGCTCAAATGTTTTTTTGTTAAGGAGAGTTGGGTCTTCTTATGTCTTCTTGTACTTTGTTGATGAAACCAACAATCCTTCCTTTTCACGACCAACAGGTGGTGTACATCTCCAACAAGCAAAACCACCATATACTATAACAGGCAACATCATCCATTCATTGACTCTGTTTGTTTGCAGTCTAATGTCTAATGTCGCTGAACAGCATGACACCATATGATGCCCATGTGTTTGCAAATGCTCAAAGATGGGTACAAATGTATGAAAATCTGAAAAGCAGTCATATGTTTCTTCCAACATGCTTTCAAGGCCATTCGGTCCTGATTTTTGAGGCCTTCCACCGCTTCTCCAGGGCTTTGAAAGGCGATGAGTTCATCTGATATGTTAAAATATATCTCAAGTCACATTAACACCACACTCTGACATGTTAACATCCAAGTCACATCATGTCGCATCCCAAGAGACACCTTGCCAATCTGTTGCATTTCAATTATCATCTTGTTAAACAAAAAAACAAATCACCACATCAACACCCCCGCTAAAGCCACAAGAAAACACGATCTAATCTCCCTCACCCAAAACTTCCCCATCAACACCCCTCCCTCACTACGGTCCAGTTTCCACTTCGGGTTGAGGGACCCTATAGACTATCCGTACCCCAGGTCTTCCGGGTCCTATAATCCCGGTCACTGGCTACCTACCTCTCTTGGTCCCCCCACACTCCACAAACCACCCCCCGCAACTCCCCCATCCCTCTCGCACTCCCTCCCTCCCACTGCTCCCCTCCGAGGCACGACTGGTGTAGGTCATCGACGTGCGACTCCTCGTGGAGCTCGTCAAGCTGCTCGTCGTCATCGAGCTCCGCGTCGTGGTGGGCGCCTGACGCGCGCGGCGGGCGCCTGACGCGCGAGTCGGCGGATGGGACGACGGGTTCGAAGGAAAGCGGCCATGGGGATGGGGTGAGACGGGCGCGGGGGACAGGTGGGTGGGACTGGTTCCAACAAAATATATAGAAAGTATATAGAAAGGCGTACAAAGGCGAAGTCCAAAGTGATCCAGGGTGATGGCTGGAGATCTGAAAACTCTTGAAGATGAATGGACATCTTAACTCCTGATCACGTATGTCAAGTCCATGAGGCTCCCTGTGGCACCTACACTGGTTGGACATCACAACTTTACCTTGTCTGTTGTACCATCTAGATACAGGCAAACAGTTACAACAATACATGTTAAATCTTGTTAAATGTATCAAACAGTTTGCCCTTTGAACACATCCAAAACTCAAGACCACAACAAAACAAACACGGGCAGCAAGTCATACAGCTTCTGTTGCCGCTGTTGGTTGTTGCTGCTGCTGCTGCTGTTGTTGTTGTCGTCGTCGTCGTCGTTATTTGCTGTTCTGACAAGCTGACACAAATAGCCCCTTGCACCACACATCTTCTTCTCTGGTCTCCAGCTTCAACCTCAGAAGCTGGACCTGTTTGTATACAGGAGCCGGTCAAACACGCTCAGACACGGTCATCCGGACCCACAGGGTGCCCGGACGGGTTCGGGTGACTCGTCTGGACGGGTCGGACCGCGGAGACAAGATCCACCACTCCCAAAGCAGACCTCTAGACGTCATCCTGTAAAGTAAATAGCAGCAGTCACATGGAGCTAGGTGGTGTGAAACGTCCCATCCAGGGGCCGTGGATGTGACAGGAGCACCCCGACTACCTCCATGGATAGCACCCCGTCTTGTGACTCCTGGTAGAAGGGTTTCTCAAACCGTTCCCAATAAATTGGCACTCTTGTTGCGGAAATAGATCTTCAAAACTGTCTCTCCGGTTCGAAAGGCCCAGCGTAGGAAAAACAGCATGCCTCACTCTTGACTCTTGACCTGCAACATGAAGGAATCCTCATTTTAGGCCCACATCAACCCCAATGAAACCTTGTGATCGCTTCGTCTTGGCACCAGGTCAGGCCTGTCCAGTCAGTCCTCATATTCCTCATACACTCCCGAGTCCACTCACATAGACCCTGACGTCCTGGCCCCCTGGGTCCGAGTGTTTTCCTCTACCAACCCAGTGGTGTACTCAGGGTCCAGAGCGTATAGTCTTCGGTGTATCTCAGTCCAACCCAATCGCCCGCCTCATGGCGTAAGCAGATGTATCCAGTCATCTGCTTGCTCGAGCGGACCAAGTCCACATGGATCTGTGAGCAGGTAGGGCAGGTCGGACCGGTCCAGGTCGGACCGGTCCAGGTGTGGGTCATGTCCCCCCAAACCATCCCGAAGTGGAAGAGATGGATGGCTTGACCGGTGCACACGGAGTCCTGGACTCAGCCTGGTGGGTTGAGCATGTTATTCTGTTCATCTGAAGAACTGGGAGAGTTAGATTACCTACCTAGATCTACCTAGACCATTCTGTTTGGGGGTCCTGTCTGGAGGTCCCTGTACGTAGTGTAGGGATTCCGGGGATTCCAGCCTGGTGACCCCATTTGAAGGTGCTGGTACATGAAGGTATCATTCTTGCTGTGGGGTAGATGTATGTAATCTATTCCAGTCCAATCTGGATGGTTTCGGGATGGTTTGCTGAGGTGTCCCTTCTGAAACTCTACTTCAGAGTCGTTATATATACATGTCATGTGACGTGGATATACCTTCAAAGGGGAAATTCAATGGAGATCCACCAGTAGGGTCTAGGCTAGTCTATTGGAGACCCCGAAATCCCGGAAGGTGCTGCCAGTATGTTTACATGTCAGCGATGTCGACCTCAGTGGCTTTTTTTGGGCGGATGTTGATTCTCCATAAAGAAAAAGGACCTCCTCTTAGTGATGCATCTATGTATAATTACTACAAACTGCCAAGCAAACTAGAGAAGTGTCTTCCTGTCTTGGTGCGGGCAAAAGTCTTGTCTGGACTCCAACTGCAAAAAGGAACAAAGAAACGCCAGCGATAAATTAAGATTGCGATGCCGGACTAGTTATTTACATATCCCGCCGTCACAGCACAAAACAGTATGGTATGTCACGGTACGTCCCAATGTTTCAGTGCTCTTTCTTCTACAGTTTCCATACAGTGCAATTGGTCTTGAGCTTTTTGACAACAAATTGCTGCACATAATACATAGAGAAGTTGAAGTTTGTTGGTTCAACTGACAAATGTTTTCACCGATGCTCAGCCTAAACAGCTTCAACGATATTCACGTGTCATGCAACAGTTGACAGTGAGTGTAGACACTTGATTGTATTTCAAACCCCATATGATGAGGTTTTACAACCCAAAACTAGAATATATCAGTCCAGAGTCTACATTAGTTCTCCTTGGCGAAACATCATGTGTCGATCAAACACCCATGCCATGTGACAAACATGCAGTCTTCCTCTAGGACTCCCGGCCTGGAGAGTGTTCACCCCAAAAATCTTCGCTCCCTATCAGAATCAGTCATGAGATGTCATGAGTGTACTTTTTGGAGTTGCCTTGCCTTGCCCAAACCACTACACTTGCTCACTACGTCACTACGCTCCAGACCTTGCAAACATGGGGATCCTTGGACCGAACGACTCCTCGGCGGTTTCACCATCCATGTCCACCCAGTCCGCTCCGCGGGAGGACCGGCCTGGCAGATCTCCTCTTCACGGCTATAACCTCGCCACCGAGGGCGGGGAAGACGACGAAGATGAGGACTGCCTACTCCCTAGAAGTCGAGCCACCATTGTTTTACTAGCCTTTAATTACCGAACCACCATTGTTTTACTAAGGGTTTTACACTACAAAACCAGATCAACCAGTGTTAAAATGGTCTTCGACTTCCAGGGTACTACCAGTACCTATACCGTAGTTCCCGAATTCTAGCGGCTAGACTCCCGTGGTTGGTTTTCGAGCTACGTGGCGAGCTACGTGGAAGACGGAGGAAGATGAGTCTCCCCCCTGGCTCCGAATGGCGTTTCTTCCGGAACGCACCGGGTTAAACTCCTGAAGTTTGTCATAGAACATCTATCATGGATTGACAACTTTTTCCAAGATTGGTCTGTAAGACAGGTGAAGCCCCACAAATCCTTAGAAAGGGCAGGTCTCCACCACTCCGAAATCCGCTTCCTTTTGTCACCCCCCGTACCGCACAGACTAACGAGTCTTGGGCATAACACCTATTGGCACTGACTTCCCTGGGGCTGCTGGCCCATGTCTTCAGGTTCGGTGGTTAAGCCCCCCCAAACCACCCCAACCATCGAACCGAAAGGCAGGTAGGACAGGAGCCGTTGGGGCGTCTGTTTCTGAAAAAAACAGACTTGCAAAACTGCGAAAATACACACACAAACACACAAACAAACACAATTCAGGAACAGTAAAAGAAAAGGAGTCGATCGATTCAAGCATTTATTCATGACCTCACTTACGTCGTTTTGCATTCAGAACCTCCCTTCTGCTTTTGCTTGCCACCTTTTCCTGTTTAATGGACCACTATTCAACCGATTCAACCTCCACATTCCAGGCTTTCTTCCGGATCCTTCCAAGTCGACTGGTACTCCTGTCCCATTCTTCCTCCGTCCCCTGAGCTCTTCCGACTGATCCCGGCACAGCCGGTGGTGCTCTCCGAGTGTTCGCACCTGACCTCGCCGATTCGGGGCCGATTCGCTGGGTGCTGATCTCGATCTCGGTGATCGCGGTGATCGCGGTGCGAAAAAAAACGTGCCACGATGGCCCGACTGGACCCAATAAAAGTGTTATAAGTGATGTCCAACCTGGATTGATCCAAACCCACGTCGGAGCCGAATGTTGATGAATGTAGTGGTTGGAACCCTTCTGAATGGTGGTCGCGAAGAGCCAAATCTCTGTTTCTTGAGCCACCTAAGAGGGTGGTGGGAAACATGGGAAACTCTCCCTCTCTTCCCTTCTGTTCAAAAGGGAAGATATCAGAACTACGACAACAAGATATGGATAGACTGTTCTGTTCCCCTTCTTTCAGGGGGTCGTTGCCTGGAGATTTTTCCAAGAGGGAGGATGCTGATCGTGATCATCATGATCCACAGACTTCCTCGCTCAAATAAACCAAGAGACGAACACCCTCCAAAACCAAACCTGAAACACTCACAGCCCAGATTCCCTGCGAGGTATAGAGATCTGTAGATCGGTTGCTGGCTCGGATCCCTGTACATCAAGTACATCAACGCAGGGGGAAACTTCCTCCTGAACTCACTGCGGCAGCTGAGCTCCACTCGGTTACAGTAATTGGTCATTCTATTTCAGCTTGTGCAGCTGTGCAGTGCATGTTGCTGGTGAGTTCACCCCATGGTCATATTAGGCAAACAACTCGGCCCCCCGAGCTGTCTCCCGCGCGCGGTCCGCGCAGTTAGTTCAACGTTGACGTGGTTTTCGGCGCGTGGTTCCAAGGGTAGATCATGATAACATTTAGCTTTGAGTGGTACACCAAGTGCTGTCGGAAGGACAAACCGCATGGTGGATACCTAATCCAGCATAAAGCTATACGGTTGGTTTCTGGTGGTGAAAGGGACTGGCATATGGAATTTATGGATGTCATTCCCACCAGAATCGTGTCTGAGAGACATACTCCTCTTTTGAGACATACCTCGGCAGCGCGTTCCAGGGCAGAACGGGCACCTCGCCTTACAGCTTTCCAAGTCGTGCACCTGGCCAGGTGGACACCATGGAGAGATGAGACGGGCCATGGGTCTTGTGGACACCATTTGAGTGCAGGTCCGGGAAAATGAATGCAAAACCATGACTCAAGATACCGTCAACTACTTCTAGGGGCTCCTTCTAGAGCTTCCTGTCTCTGACCCAAGGCTTGGTCACCCATGAAGAAGACCCTCATAGTTGAGGGTACGACTGAAAGAGGTCAAGGATCAGGTTTGGCCCGACTGGACTTGTAGGGCTGTGTTTGGGCTCCTGTCCTGGAGGGCAGGTTCAGTGCGACTGGGGATGGTTTTTGGGGCGTGTACCATGATGTGGGGCAGGAGTCTTGAGGGATTTTGACACAGTGGCACACCTATGACGCACGATGATTCTGTGCAAATCTTTCTCACCCACAACAGCAAACGGCCTTACGTGGAAAACCCCGAAAGCATCAAAAGCATTCAAAAGCATGTTTGCACTGCAACAAAATCTGACATTGAATGTCCCGAAAGAGACATCCTGCAACCACACCACCACCACCACCACCACCAACAACAACAACAACAACCACAACGACAAGGACAAGGACAAGGACAAGGACAATGACGACAACAACAAGAACAACGTGTTCCAAAAAGAACCCAACCACAACTTCAACTCGTAGCGTTTCTCTCTACCCCCCGAAACGATTGCGGAGACATAGCTCAAACGAAACCTTGCTCTGACCCCCGGTCCCGGTCCCGACGCACGACGTCTCCGCGTGTGGCGACCAACGCCCACGACGTCGTCTCCACGACAAATGGGACTGCTAGCCATTCACCTACATTTGAAGTGGTATTCGAATGGGGTGAACGTCTATAGCCATATCATGCCAGTCCCAGGATCATCCAGTCTGGCAGTCCTGGCTAGACTACCGACTATGCCCTACCCTACCCTATGGATGGTCTTCGAACTGGTCACCCATGTCTGGCGGTCAGTGCGCTCTATGCCAGTCCGGCGGTCTGGCAGGTCCGGTCCTTCTCTCCGCTCGTCTCGTGCCTCGCGGAAGGCGACGAAGTCTTCGCCCTCCTCTCCGTCGAGGCCGCCTCGGGGAGGCTTCGCGTTCGCGTCCAAGGGGGAGGAGTCCCCCTCGTGGTGGACCTGGCAAACATGAAGAGACCTGCGCTGGGAGGTCCAGGTATGGCGTTGAAAGAGGCTCCGGGGCGCAGCTCCAAGCCCAGAAGACAGATGGAGAATGATGGACATCTGTCCACTCTGGAAGTCATTCTTGCATGGTACAGCCGGTCCTCAAGATGTAGAGCTGGACTCTTGAGGCCAACCAGCTTAGAGGTTCTATGTGGTTTCTGCTCTGAATCTGAACAAATGCAGGAAAACATACCAAGGAAGTTCAAGGAAGGGCCAAAAAGAAGCCCTGCTACAACATGCTACAACTATCTGATCCAAAAGGCAGTCATTAAATCAAGTCTTGGATCAATGCGAAGATAAACCAGAAACTTGAAGAGATCCAGCCAGTCCCTCTTCTAGAAATACCCTCAACCCCAAAATAAATTCGCAGATTTGCAGATGCCATGCCGACGAAGAATATCGAGGGATTCTACGTTTCTGACTAAACCATCATTGAATCATTGAGGGGATTACATGGGATTACTGATTATACATGGGATTACTGGACCGGGATTATACATGGGAATAGCCATTAAGCAAGGAAGTTCTTCATTCACCGTCGATGTCGTTCTTCATTCACTTCCCTCCACTTTCCCTCCACTTTCACCCACGTTGTCCGCCACACCGTGGCCACACGTTGTCCGCTGAGTTTCCCCTGCCACACGCACGATCTTTGCCACCGTCCACCAGACTCCACATCCCCTGGCGCGTTTTTCCACCAGACGAGCGAAGCAGAAGCACCCCCGGACGAGCGCCACGGCGAAGTCGCGATAGGCGGTTCAAGGATGGAGACACCCGTTGACACACTCAAACGCACGCAAACGACTCCAAAGACCACGCGCGTTTGATTGAACCATCGGGAAGCAATGGCCATTTCACACAACGGAAACGATCAGGGCGTCTAGATTGAAACTTTTGGAATCTAGTGGCAATTTGTGACACCAGCCCATAGGCTTCGGATTGAGGTTTTTGATGCTTGGTCAAAAAGAAAAACCGACTAGATTTGACATGATTTGACCCAAACACTCCATAGCATGGAATATGCCCCTGAAATCGACCCGAATGTAGGCATCTATTCCATACATGGAGCGTCTGTGATATATCCCTGTCGTCTGACGGGATCTCAAGACCACACCAAGACAGGTAGGAGGGGAGGTTTGTGTGTGTGTGTGTGGGAGAATGCAAGCATTACCTAAGTCTGAACTTCGATTCCCTAAGTTTCCAAGAAAAACATCAGGCTTAACCACCAGTTTTTATTCCGGATTTCACGCTACAAAACCAGGTCGTTCCCAATGAATATGGCATGCAACTGTGGATTAACCCATGAATACCCCCAGTTCGACCCTCTGATCAAGATGAAGGCCCGATCATACAAGGACCATTTAGTAGACTTCTTAATAAGTGACTAAAAGGACTCAACATCCCATTGGCTGGAAGCTCTCCCGCGGCCCCCAGCTGCCCCCCGCTGCCCCTTGAAGCGCGCCGCAGCTCGGTTGAGGTGCATCGATCGGACGGCGCCGACGAACCGGCGGCCTCTTCAGCCCAGCTCGGCACGGAGACCTCCTCGCCCAAGGAATTCACTAACCTCGCGCGTTCGGCGCTCGGCGTTCGGCGACACGGATCGCGGCGCGGTTCGGCGCTTCCGTGGTGAAGGACCGCAGCACTATACAGGTTCAGTCTGATCCAGGTCCAGGTCTTGTGGTCCTGAAAACCTCTCAGTGAGGAGTGTGATTTGTATCTTAGTTGAAAAACAATGCATGATGAACTCCAGCTCAAGGAGGGTCTTTGACCTGTAGGCGTTGTTTTTGTCTCCGTCCTGCTTCACATGTGTTCACCTAACTGCCGAGATCTCTTGAGCCTATGATCTAAATAAGTTTTTCATATGCCTCTCACATGGCTCAGTAACTCTTGCTGTTTCGTTCCCACCTTTCAGAATACCATCGTTCTTCTCCACTTCGTCCCCCCCAAAACCCAAAACATCACCGACACCGGAACGCGCGCCACCGGGCAACGCACTCCGCCGCGCCTGTCGGGTGCAGCGTGCAGGTGCGACAAACGTCCCACGGTGCTGCTGTCGATGAGCCGTTGGATGACCTGTGAGCTTGACCCTGACGACCGACCGACGGACCCAGGGGACCGGAGAGGCCAAGGATCAAGGGTGGTCCATGGTCAAGGCGTCTGTGGGTCCGTTCAGTCGCGGTGCGCGGAACTCACCCTGCTGCTTGACCATGTCTGGTGATGATCATTCGGTTCACGGGAAAAAAAATACAGGGTCCCTCAATGCCATGATCCACATGCGATCCAGTGGTTTCAGGTTTCCACCCATCTTCCCTAAACTCATCTAAACTCTATGGGACAGGAAGATTGTTCTGGAAGACGACACCACTAACTAATGCACCAAGGAGGGCAAAGCACATCCAGTCCCATGGAATGAGTCGGACACTGGAGCCTCGATCCGTCTTGATCCTGTCAGGGGAGGAAGGACACGGAAGGACGCTCACACCGGTTCACATTGAATTCCGTGTGCAGTTCTGCTCCTGAGGCAAGTTTCGAGACAGAACTTCCAAAGAAGCCTCCAAACACATCCTCGACACAAGGGCCACTTGAATTCTACGGTACTGGATTCCCTATAAGTCCAGAGACCTAGTAAAACCTCCCATTCCTCAGCAAGTCCGCCAGCACACTTTTTTCGCCATGGAATGTCACAGTATGTCACAGTCTTGAGCAGCACCAGAGTTTACTGTTGGAAAGCTGCTGATGTGCTGATTGCTGTGATTCACATTCCGGGACACTTCATGCTAACGTTTCAGGCCAGCTCGTGGTCCACGTACTTGCTTGTCTTTCGCCATCTCTCGCAGTTTCCTCATCTCATCATAAATGATTCCACCATGTTTCGGCCGGGCAGCTTCGGCTTCGTCTTCTTCTGGTCTGGCTGGCGGTTCATCGCTGCCTTTTGAGAACCAGCTTCCCATGACAAGCAACAACTAAGACGGGATGAACTGAAGGCTGCGGGGATGACAAAGATCGTGAACTGGGACAGGTGACAGGCATTCAGTGACACCAAGACTTCCAAGGTTAACATTTAACCCCCTTCACCCAGCGGGGCCTTGAAAAGGATGATGCCAATGTGCACGAAGCACCGTGGCAATGGTATATATATATATATAGATTTCTGTAGCAGTGGTCTTTGGCCTCCAAACGAGTAGTCTTCTGTGTGACCAACTCCAGTATTTCATGAGGTCATTGACTTGTATAGAGATTATGTCAGAGATTCACCCTGACCCCTGGCTCTTTTTCGACCTTCCGATTCAGAAGTGAATGAAAGAACAGAATACAAATCCCTCCGAACAGAGCACGCTGGCACAGGACTGTCAAAAGAAAAGCCACCCATGAAACTTCGCCCAACTCATCCGGGAGGCCTCGTGCGACTGCAAGTGAGGCTTCCTTGGTGCGTAGCCGAAGGCTACCGAGGGCGAAGCCAAAATCCCAAGCAGGTTCAGGATCAACATACTTGGACCTAAATCAGGACCTTTTAACAGGTCACCACCTGCAACTTTTAAGTCTCCAAAAGCCACCAGAGGAGACCTGTTGGAGAGTGCTGGTATAACATTATAAAGCTATAGTGTTTGTTAATGACAGCTTCAGATCTTTGGGCATTACAATATTTCAGCCATATCTTAAATGTGAACCAAAAACCGCGTCCTAGCTATTCTATACCTTAACTCATCACTTCCCCAACTAGTGGTCAAAGCCAGCAAGGTTTATAGGCTCAGTTTTTGAGTTGATTTGAGGATGCTCATGGAACTGGAACTGGAGGAAGGCAACGCTTTCATGCATACCCGCGCGCGCGCGCTCTCCCTCTCTCTCTCTCTAGCAATTAAAGAGGGGATGACATGCTCTGGACCAAATCGCCAAGTGAAGTGGGGATTAGTCTACAGGCCAATCTGTGTTCGTCGGAGGTGTGCGCTTCCCTATCCTCAAAGCGTTCAAAGCTTCTCACAACAGTTGTTCGCAGCAATTTCTGCGCAGTGCTACCCACCAAATTCCTACCACCCACTCTTCTCCATCACCAACGCCAAAAACACCGTTACTGGTAGAATCTTGATGAATCAACCCCTCACACCCCCCCCACTTGGATGGTAAAAGCTCTTTGCTTCACCCTCCACCCTCCTCCAACCGCAATTTGAGCCGAAGCTGCTCCGACAGCACCAGCGCCGCGGCGCCGGCCACGTGCGCCGCGGCCAGCGCGCTCCCGGCGGAGCGGCGGAGCTCCGCCGTGTCGGAGCCTCCGGGACCCGCCCGAAGGGAGGAGCCGTAGTTGCTGGAGCAGGCCCCAAAGAGAGGTTTGATGGACCCGGGCTGAACCATGTTATGATAGGTATATACCCCAGGTGAGGGTATAAGAGGTGACGGGTCCTATTTGCGGTCACTGGCTACCTCTTTGGGAGGGTGAGGCGGTGGAGGAATTGATAGTTTATTTTTTGGATTCGGGGGAAGGATGGGCGATAAAAAGGAGTTCAATGAGGGGTGGACCCATCGGCCAAGGCTAATTAAGCGGCCAAAGTATGAGCCAACTCCTCAAAAATGCAGTTATGGCCAGGAAATAAGGAAATGATGTGGTTATACTTGTTTTTTGAAACCTAGGAAGCAGGCTAAAAACACATCTCTGTATCCCAATGTTCCTTCTCAGCATCAAACCCCTTTGAGTGCATTTGGCGCTCCAAACGCGCTCCGCTCACTGCGGAGCTTGCATTCTGAGCTCCCCGGGCCGATGCCCGCGCTGGTGAGGTCCTCGCCCGGTGCCATCAAGTTGATACCTTGGGAGCTGCGAGCTGCGCGGTATCAAGCTCTGAACATCTCTGAACGGAGGTGAGCGGATGGGGCACAGGTGACTTGGACTTGCTGCTTCCAGGAAGCCGGGAAAGAATAAAAGCGCGATTCCCCAGGTTTGGGGCTTTACCCATAGAGCCATATAGAGCAAATAAGACATCACCTGAAGCAAGACCAGGGTGTGCGGAGTGATCTGGATGGTGGATGGAGAACTTCTCCGGATCTGCAGTTCGTCTCCGGTGAATCTACTCCCCAGGGCCCGACGTACACGACAAACAGGTCACCAGTCTGGTTCGACCGCTTCGACAGGGTCCTTCCCAACCCTCAACGTTCACAGCCCTGGCCGCCTCGGCCGCATAGCCAGCAGAGTCGGGTGCTGGTGATGTGATGTTGCGAGTGATATGTGATGGATATGTTTCCGAGGGTTTCGACTCCCCCAGGTGTGGGGGGTCTCGCTCCTGGCCCGGATCCTTCAAGAATCGGTAGGTGCATCACCTCCCTGGCACCCCACCCACTCCGACCACCTTAGCGAAACTGGAGGTAGGACAGGAGCCCAAATGGAGTTATGCCTAGTCCCGCCTCCTCACAGTCCAAAACATTCCAAAGCGACTTCCCAGGCTCCTTCACCGGTGGTATCTGGTGGTTGCAGGTGTGTGTTGGCCTCTTTTCTTTCAAAGAATGGTGGTCTCATGTCTCATGACCCCAAGTGGATGGCAACATGGATGACCCCATGTAGTCGATTCATCGAGACGTGCTTCACCCGGTGAGACACACACACACACACATGACTCATGACGAATACGTGAATACGAGGGTTCGCAGCCCGGATCTCAGTGTGCAGCCCAACCAAAAGCACGGACTTTCAGAAGTAACAGCGAGAAATCCAAGAGTTGAAAAACAAAAAACAAACAACATATAAGGCTGTTGGATGCTATTAGCTTTCCTGAATGCTAGTTGGGTTCAACTTACAACCTCTCTACAGGAAACTACTCTAGCTTGCTGATTGGTCCCTGACCCGTCCCTGACGACGCACGACCTGGTTTGATCCATCGATGCTCCAAACCAGCAAACGACCCGTGCGACCTGCGCGAGGTCATTCCGCCCCTGGAACGGTCCCAACGCGTGGATTGGCTCCGAGGAATTGGATTCTAGGACGGTTCTACATATCGATGGGCGATTTGATTTCACATGCCGAAATGTGTGAACTCATCTTGCAATCTTCTTGCAACCTCAATGAGGAACTCCAGGTTTTCCACAGGCACAATTTGCTTCCCACGAAATGCCAGGCCCACGTTACGTCGCCTGGTCCCCATCAAGGCCCGCATGGGCAGTTGAAACGGCTCCCTGTGCCTCCACCCAGCCTCCGTTGAACTTGAGGGACGCAACAGGTCTAAAAGAATGGATGCTCAACTGCCACCCAGCAGCACTGGCCGAAATTGCTGGTGTTGGCTCGAGTGTCATGCCTGGATTGCAAGAGGCTCGTTGCGCCAAGCAGTGGGAGATCATCTACCTAAAATCTTGTGATACTGTGACACTCATGACGTCCTTTTGAGATCTTTTGAGAAGAATATACAGTAGAGGGTCTTTCGGGGTTCATTGACCTATCAATTGGTTGTTCACTTGGGGGCATATCCCCTCGATGAATTAACCAATCGTATACAAGGCCGAATCTGTTACACTACCCAAAGAATCCTTGGGCCCTCCATAGCAGAGGTCCCCCTCCCCGAACCAAACCCTATGTGTTAGCAAAAAGGCCCGGATTCTTAGGGTGCTTGCGGATTCTGAGGTAGGTTGGATCCAAGTACCCCAAACATGGATGCTCCGTACCCTAAGAATCCGAGCCTCTCCTCTGCTAACGGATCCAGATGCCCGGATTCAGATCGGTTGCATCGGATCCAAGTTCCGATCCTCGACCGAGCTACGGCGCGTTCATGCGCCGCTACGAGCGTTGCTGCGTGACGTACACCCCAACACGGCGTACCGCCGGTTGCTGCATGCTACGGTCGCCGGAGTGTTCGGTCACAGAAAACCTTAAGCACGGAAAGGAAGGTCACCCAGCTTTATACCAGATGAAACCGGCTGGACATGGCCTCTGTAAGATCTGGTATAATTTGTTTAAAAACAAACCCACCGGTCCTGGTGTTTCCAACATCCAGGACCTTCTCAGTGACCTTTCGAGTTCCCAGAATTAGATAGAATTAGATCAGTTAGGTCTTGAAAAGGGCACTGACCAATCCCGAAAAGGTCCCTGGGAAGTTCCTAGATGTTCACACAACTCTTAACACCACTTCATGACCCTCCCGAAGGCTCTCCCTCCGTCCGCGTTTGCGGGACCTTCGAGCGTTCTTCCAGCCCTGGACGTCCAGCGAGGCGCCTGGTGGTGGCGCCCACCGTCAGCACTGAAGGGATGTAGCCGGGTGTGTATTCGCAAGCGTCGGGGTGGGCCTCGGCGAAGGCACGGCTTGGCGAAAGAAAGGTGTCATCCATCCGTCAAGGTTGGCAGGAGGCATGGCAAGGTTCCTTTCCCTCAGGGATGTCCAAGGGATATTTGAAGACCATGAGTAGAACTCAGAGAGCACAACAAGAGTTGGGTTTTAATGGGGGGAAAGCCTTGATATTGTAAGTTGGTAATGTCCCGTGCTTCCAAAATGCCCCCACAAAGCAGTTTGACACTCCGGAACGCACGGGAATGGTTCACTCACCCCATCTATATCAGCGTTCAACTATATATGATGGAGGCCCAAAGAATGCAACAGTAACATCTCGAAGCCTTTCTCTTGACTCATCGTCTTTGGAATATCTCGTTCACCTTCCAAAAAACCGTGGGACAATCAATGGAATCCAAATACAGGCTCTTTGATGCCACTCTGATGAATTTACTTTGAACTTTGAACCATGCAAAACGTTTCCCCCGCCCCATCATTCCCCCCACATCCACCTACAGTAGTCTCAGAGTAGACGGCACCAGCACCCGCTTGAAGAGATCGAGACCCAGCATAATTACACCACCCCAACTTGGACATGTCGTGTGTGTGTGTGCCATCTTCTCTAATCCACCATTCTACTTCAGACCTCCCCACCCCAATCCGGCCCCCTGCATCATCCCGGCCCCCCATCATACACCTATCCCAAACACTCCATG